GATAAAAATGTAGATCCAATTCCTAGTTGTTCCTATAAAGATCGTATGACCAATTAAATGATATTATCTTATACTAACGAAGATTTAACACAGTATTAGCTAGCCTATTAGGTAATCTTAAAGACTGTTAATTGCTTGAAGGTTATTAAGATTGCTTTTCATCTGTACACACGTCAAGAATACTTTAATTATTAAAATGAAATTAAAATTATCTCTCATATATATACCGCTTGGTGTATATCTACACTGCTGTTCTTAGCGCACATACATACATAAAACACCCATGAGAATATATACAGTAGGTATTATTCGGTATCCTGCGTCAGGAAAACATGTAATTGTTGTTGGATTTTTTTCTTCTTCCGAGGTTTTCATTTATAACTTAAGAACTCGCGAAATCGTAATGACACGATCGCCCACAGCCACCGTACGGTCGGAAACTGAACTTGCATTTGTGGTCACAGTGATGCTATGCTGACTTCTATGATGTATTGATTTTACCTAGTGGAGGGAATTTTATTTGAACTGGCCTGTGGCTAACGCGCCGGTCGGGAAATTTTTTACAATCTCTAGCCGAGTTTAGTTCCCACCCGTACCGTGGTTTGAAAAAATTTTTTTAAAAGAAAAAAAGTCTTTTCCCGGGATCGGCTTTAAACATTTAACGCTGATATATGTTATCTAAAGGAAGGTTCATGTTATTATTGATGTGTAGCTGCCCCCTTGGTCAGTTTTTCATACCAAGGAATAATTTTGGTTTCTCTGCGATAACTTTAACTTGACTTCAAACTTTCAACACAGATGTTTCATATAAAGAAGAAAATTTGGATAGTTATTGAGTGTATAAATAAGTACATATTTCTTAATTTAATTAAAAAAATTGCAGTATTATTTTCAGTGAGATAACAGGTTTAAGTTTTAAAAGATGGAACACCTAACTGAAGGGACTAAAGATAATTTGGGATATGTAATCTCAAAGTTATTTTTTAACATAGTTAAAGAAATTGAGATTACTGGTTTTTGTTTAATAACTGGATGGTGTGTCTAGTGATCGGATCGCTGGTAGTTGTTGCTTGAAGAACCACGTTGTTGTTAGACTGTCGGATCGCTGGTAGTTGTTGCTTGAAGAACCACGTTGTTGTTAGACTGTCGGATCGCTGGTACTTGTTGCTTGAAAAACCACGTTTGTTGTTAGACTGTGGGAAATCGCTGGTAGTTGTTGCTTGAAGAACCACGTTGTTGTTAGACTGTCGGATCGCTGGTAGTTGTTGCTTGAAGAACCACGTTGTTGTTAGACTGTCGGATCGCTGGTAGTTGTTGCTTGAAGAACCATGTTGTTGTTAGACTGTCGGATCGCTGGTACTTGTTGCTTGAAGAACCACGTTGTTGTTAGACTGTTGGATCGCTGGTACTTGTTGCTTGAAGAACCACGTTGTTGTTAGACTGTCGGATCGCTGGTAGTTGTTGCTTGAAGAACCACGTTGTTGTTAGACTGTCGGAATCGCTGGTAATTGTTGCTTGAAGAACACGTTGTTGTTTAGACTGTCGGATCGCTGGTACTTGTTGCTTGAAAAACCCCACGTTGTTGTTAGACGTCGGATCGCTGGTACTTATTGCTTGAAGAACCACGTTGTTGTTAGACTGTCGGATCGCTGGTACTTGTTGCTTGAAGAACCACGTTGTTGTTAGACTGTCGGATCGCTGGTACTTGTTGCTTGAAGAACCACGTTGATGTTAGGCTGTCGGATCGCTGGTAGTTGTTGCTTGAAGAACCACGTTGTTGTTAGACTGTCGGATTGCTGGTACTTGTTGCATGAAGAACCACTTTGTTGTTAGACTGTCGGATCGCTGGAAATTTTGCTTGAAGAACCACTTTTGTTGTTAGACTGTGGGGTCGCTGGTACTTGTTGCTTGAAAAACCACGTTGTTGTTAGACTGTCGTATCGCTGGTAGTTGGTTGCTTGATAAACCCACGTTGTTGTTAGACTGTCGGAAATCGCTGGTAGTTGTTGCTTGAAGAACCACGTTGTTGTTAGACTGTCGGATCGCTGGCAGTTGTTGCTTGAAGAACCACGTTGTTGTTAGACTGTCGGATCGATGGTACTTGTTGCTTGAAGAACCACGTTGTTGTTAGACTGTCGGATCGCTGGCAGTTGTTGCTTGAAGAACCACGTTGTTGTTAGACTGTCGGATCGCTGGTACTTGTTGCTTGAAAAAACCACGTTGTTGTTAGACTGTCGGATCGCTGGTACTTGTTGCTTGAAGAACCATGTTGTTGTTAGACTGTCGGATCGCTGGTAGTTGTTGCTTGAAGAACCATGTTGTTGTTAGACTGTCGGATCGCTGGTACTTGTTGCTTGAAGAACCACGTTGTTGTTAGACTGTCGGATCGCTGGTAGTTGTTGCTTGAAGAACCACGTTGTTGTTAGACTGTCGGATCGCTGGTAGTTGTTGCTTGAAGAACCACGTTGTTGTTAGACTGTCGGATCGCTGGTACTTGTTGCTTGAAGAACCACGTTGTTGTTAGACTGTCGGATCGCTGGAGTTGTTGGCTGAGGAACCCGTTGTGTTGACTGGGGATCGCTGGTAGTTGTGCTGAAGAACCGTGTTGTTAGGACGTCGGATCGCTGGTAGTTGTTGCTTGAAGACCCGTTTTTGTTAGACTGTCGGATTGCTGGTAGTTGTTGCTGAAGAACCACGTTGTTGTTAGACTGTCGGATCGCTGGTAGTTGTTGCTTGAAGAACCCCCGTTGTTGTTAGACTGTCGGATCGCTGGTAGTTGTTGCTTGAAGAACCACGTTGTTGTTAGACTGTCGGATCGCTGGTAGTTGTTGCTTGAAGAACCACGTTGTTGTTAGACTGTCGGATCGCTGGTAGTTGTTGCTTGAAGAACCACGTTGTTGTTAGACTCCCGGGAAATCGCTGGTAGTTGTTGCTTGAAGAACCACGTTGTTTTTTAGACTGTGGGATCGCTGGTATTTGTTGTTTGGGAAAAACCACGTTGTTTTTTAGACTGTTGGATCGCTGGTATTTTGTGCTTGAAGAACCACTTTTGTTGTTAGACTGTCGGATCGCTGGTACTTGTTGCTTGAAGAACCACGTTGTTGTTAGACTGTCCCATCGCTGGTAGTTGTTGCTTGAAGAACCACATTGTTGTTAGACTGTCGGATCGCTGGTAGTTATTGCTTGAAGAACCACGTTGTTGTTAGACTGCCGGATCGCTGGTATTTGGGTGCTTGAAGAACCACGTTGTTTTTTAGACTGTGGGATCGCTGGTAGTTGTTGCTTGAAGAACCAACATTGTTGTTAGACTGTCGGATCGCTGGTAGTTATTGCTTTGAAGAACCACGTTGTTGTTAGACTCCCGGGAAATCGCTGGTGTTGTTGCTTGAAAAAACCACGTTGTTGTTAGACTGCGGATCGCTGGTAGTTGTTGCTTGAAGAACCACGTTGTTGTTAGACTGCCGGATCGCTGGCAGTTGTTGCTTGAAGAACCACGTTGTTGTTAGACTGTCGGATCGCTGGTAGTTGTTGCTTGAAGAACCACGTTGTTGTTAGACTGCCGGATCGCTGGTAGTTGTTGCTTGAAGAACCACGTTGTTGTTAGACTGCCGGATCGCTGGTAGTTGTTGCTTGAAGAACCACGTTGTTGTTAGACTGCCGGATCGCTGGTAGTTTTGCTTAAAGAACCACGTTGTTGTTAGACTGTCGGATCGCTGGTACTTGTTGCTTGAAGAACCACGTTGTTGTTAGACTGTCGGATCGCTGGTAGTTGTTGCTTGAAGAACCACGTTGTTGTTAGACTGTCCCATCGCTGGTAGTTGTTGCTTGAAGAACCACGTTGTTGTTAGACTATCTTAATTTGAATCTGGTAACTTTATTAAACAAATTTGTTTCTTTGCCTTTCTTGATCTGCTTCAAATCTTAAACACGGATGTATATTAGTGAAAAATTTGGATTGATCTTGGGCAGTGTAAGTGTTAATTTGTTAAGTCTGTTCTGTAAATTAGGAATATTTAAATATTAGTTTCCATGTGATAACTTGTGAATGTTTCATCCGATTTGCTTCAAATCTTTAACAATGATGTATCCTACTTAGAGGAAACTTTTGACTGTTAATGGAGTGTCCTTATCCAATGGCATGATAATGCTAGTTTCTTAAATATTAAAAAAAAACTGAAAAAGTATATTAAAAATACGCGTTTTTATGGCATTTTAAATTTTTAGAAATATAATGAGCCTTTCAAAAGTATTATTTTTCGTATTGCTATATCAATAAAATGGTTATAAACTAAGGTACAGTTTTCTAAATTCACGTTTTCCCCATGATAACTCGAGAACGACTCTTCTGATTGGTTTTAAACTTTCAGCGTTAGTGCATCTTACTTAAAGTCTCAGACTGGTATTAGGATATATTGGTGCCATTTTACTAATTTTATACATGCAAATAATGCAATGGTTTACTTACAGCTTGAGAATGTTAGTTCCGAATCTGCTTGTAACTTTCAACATAAATGTATCCTACTTAGACGAACATTATTTGTGACTATAGGGAAAAATTTGCAATTTTATTTTAAAAATGGGAGAGAGGGTAGTTTTTCAGTGCAATAAGTTGAGAGCTTGAAGTTTAAAGTTCTGGTGTGTTTTGCTCAAAGGAAAAGTTGAATGTTTACTGGGTTGTGTAAGCCCTGATCTGCCAGTTTTGTTAAACAAATTGGTATATTGGTTTCCGTATAGTAACTAGACAATGTCTCTTGATTAAGATGTATGTGACCTGTACACCACCAGTCATGGATACTTTAATTCTCTGAATAGACATAAAATAGAACTTAGTGCCTTATACACTGAAATATGCATTCCTCAGTGTATATAGCCTTGCTCCTTTCAGAATAGTATATGATTATTATTATTGATTGCTATTATTATTATTTGTATTATATTATGAATATAATTATTATGATTATACTGATGATTACCTGCACTCTGACGGTGGGTTTGTGCAGGTCATTCAACTCGTCACATCACTACCAGGAGGGAGGACCTCTAGAAGAAGACGTAGTGGTGGTGCTGGACCCAGATACTGGAGAAGTTGTACGTTCTTGGGGTCGTGGACACTTCGTCTTGCCTCACGGTATAACTGTTGACTCCAAGGGTAACACCTGGCTCACAGACGTCGCTCTCCATCAGGTGTTTAAGGTGGGTAATTAGGTGAATAATAATTATTATGACGTATTTTACGAATAATAATGACGTATTGTACGAGTAATAATGGCGTATTTTACAAAGCGCTAAACCTATGTGAGTTATTCAACGTAAGGCTTGGTGGAGGCTCGATCATCTATCCTCATAGAGACGATCACTGTTAGGTATCCACCTCAACGTACCTTGAAGGGGTACCTTGACGTGGCTGCTGGAATTGTTTTTTGTTCTTTCTCAAAAGGTTTTCGTGGATATAACTTAAGAATATCTCATCCGATCAGCTTCAAATTATCAGTGTTCTTGTACTGTACCTGAGGAAGGTACCATACAAGAACAAGGTATAATATTGTTGTAGTGGCAGTATAATATTGTTGTAGTGGCAGTATAATATTGTTGTAGTGGCAGTATAATATTGTTGTAGTGGCAGTATAATATTGTTGTAGTGGCAGTATAATACTGTTGCAGTAGCAGTATAATACTGTTGCAGTAGCAGTATAATGTAGACACACAGCCTCTATTCTTCTTGCTATCGCCCTCTTATTAAGTTTCTTCTTGACGACTCAGTTCACTTCTAACTGCTAAGCTGTCAGTCTCAATTAAGTTGAATCTCCACTTCTATCCATAGTATAACTACTGAGACCCATATCAGTCTACGAGGACTAAGGTACCTATTTACTGCTATGAGAACATAATCAGCAGATGAAATGAGACTTGTCCCTACAACTCCCAATGAATGGAATTCAGGGTCCTTTCTGATGTAAGATGACCACTTCATTACTAAGCTACAGGTGTTTTAGTCTTTGAGTAATCGTCCTCCATTACTTAATAATTTTAGTGATCATAATTATTCACAGCGAATAATTATGGAAGCACAAAGATCCCCCATTGGAAATAAGTCACTATGTCTGATTTTTTGGGGAGGGATTATCCTAGGTAATTTACACATATGTTACCATGTATGACAATTTATGTAACTGTATTTATGTGTACCTGTACCTAAGAACTCGATGAGCCAACCCTGAGCATTATATTAAATATGGAACACTTAGTCCCTTGGTTATCATATTGTTACCTTCGCCGTATTTTATAACTGGAGTCTGTTTCGACATTATGTGTGTGTTGTCGTTCAAGCAGGAAGCTGGTTGGTTGACTTAATGCCTCTAATGGGTTTTTCATTCATGTAGTTGAAACTATCCTTCCCTTGCATCGACACCATGCCTAACCCTTCTAGGGTAGGGTAGGTGCCTGAGCCCGAGCTTACAGCTCACAAGACTGTCATTCCCATTACCCCCCTTGGGGCGGGGATGGCAGACCAGAGAGGTCTAGCTTGTGGCTAGGCCTGGGGACAGTTGGTCCCAAAGATGAAGAGGTACTTGTGCCTCCTCCCATGGGAGACTTGGGTCTCAGACACTCCCTAAAGAGGGAGCCAAGGCCGGGCCACCACTTGGAAAAGGCCCGGGCCGGGAGAATACCGGCTAATCTTTAATAATAATAATAATAATCCTTCCCTTGCGCCAAACTGCATAACCCCTACATGTTTAGCGCTTTCCCCAAAATCATAATAATAATTACTACTACTAATACTAATTTACTATAATAAAAAATAAAAATAAAATAATAATATCAGCAATAATAATTATTATTATCATTATTGCTACTACTACTAGTATTACTACTGCTGCTACTAAATACTACTACACTACTACTAATATAATAATAATAATAAATAATTACTACTACTACTACTACTAATAATAATAATAATAATAATAATAATAAAAATTACTACTTATACTACTACTACTACTACTACTATAATTAATAATAATAATAATAATAATAAATAATAATAATAATAATAATAATAATAATAATAAATAATTACTACTACTACTACTACTACTACTATACAACTACTACTACTACTACTAATAATAAAATAATAAAAATTACTACTTATACTACTACTACTACTACTACTACTACTAATAATAATAATAATAATAATAATAATAACAACAGTAATTATTATTACTAATAATAATTACTACTACTATTATTTCTATGGAAAATTTCCTAGGGTGCTTGACTATATGTTTACCGTAGTCACCCCGTGTAGACATGTGGAAAACTTAACCACCTCTGGTCGCGGGCAGGTGGTCCCCTCGACCTCACTATCTTATCCATATATATCCGAAAACCAGTATAGATTGGATAGCACCCACAAGTACGGTGCTACCAATTATTTGTGGACTGTATAGATTATATTAGTTTAGCTGAATGAAGGGGGGGGGTAGGATACACATGGATACATCCATCAAGGAAAAACGTTTGTACATAATCCCACTACTTACCAGATGTTCTCTGGTGGTCACTTGATGTAGCTGGATCATCGTAACCTATCTAATTTAAAACATACCACTACGGGCCAGCAAAGGGTTTGCTATAACTAAAGGTTATTTAACTGTGGTGATTGTATTCCTCATTTTTGATTCACCATCTCTTTTTTCGATGTCCTGCTCCCGAAAAACATTCTCTTTCCCAGGACGGGGACCGGGGGTTTTCCGTTTTTTAGACGTCGGACCAAGGAGTTTCCCCTTTCCTCTCGTTAACAACGAGGTCAAAGCGGTTTCACTCGGAGCAAACGACTTTCTCATTTCAAAATTTTCCTTAATTAGCGTTATTATCAAAAATTTACATTCAATTCACAAGACGTTTTAAAACGCTCTAACTATTATCAAACAAAGGGGTCACTCCATTAAATCTGAGCCCGATGAGTGATATTAATCCAAAGGGGAAATTTTTCCCCCAGGCACGCCATTGCGACGCGTCAGTCCCCCTCCTTCTCCCCATACACTTTTACCACTCTATTACGGGCCCCGAAAAATCCCGTTCCCCTCACTCCCACCGGGAACTTTTACGACACTTCTTATTATGAAATGAGGCCTATTTTAAATTTTTAGCCACCGTGAACGTCAATTTCGGGGTTCCATGTTTTCCCAGCTTCCCACCACTTTCAAAAATACGGCCCCTCCCCCCCGCACACCCGCGCATGCCCCAAAGGGGAACTCTTGGTTCTACTCTATTTTCAAATACTTTTTGACTCATATGGGCCCAAAAAAAAAACACCTATTAGGCGCTATAGTTTCGGAAATTAAAAATTTTCCAAGGGGGGGGGCCGGGGCGGAAGCTTTTTAAAACGACTTAAATTTGCGTCTTCCCCCCGGAAGGGTTCCACCCTCTCTAATTGCGCTGCTTTTTTCCTAGGGGTCTTATACAGTTTTCTCTTGCATTACCCGGCAGTGTTTTCAATATCACTCGTGCCCTTTTTCCCTTGGGTTTTCCCAATTGCACTGGATTGAACTCATTTAATTCAAAGGGGAATTAATTATTAATGGAAAGCAAATTTTCCTGACCACGACACAACACTTTGACTTTTTCTGACAACACCTTGTGCATCTGGGTATAAGAACACCTTCCCCAGGGGGCCACATTTTTCGATGTTGTTCGTATCAATTAACACAATGCACCGGGTTGAATGTTCTGTCGTTTAAACTGCCTCTGGCCCCCATAAAAGTGTTCACGTAATGTAAAAATATTCTTTCCCCGCCACACATCAGACCAATGAATAATTCCCTTTATTAACTTTTTGAACTTGCACTCAACACCGTCACGTATTGAATCCTCATCACTTCCCTCGGGATACCTATAGATAGGCGCAGCTTCTAACCTTTCCACATTTGGGTGAGAGGGGTCAGTATCTCCGCGTCAGGTGTCGCTCAGTATGACAGAGGCATTGTTCACTCGATTCCTGCCCCCCAACACTGCCCGGAACTCCCCAAATCAATTCTTTTCCCTGTGTACACCTTACAAAACATTTTTTTCACTGTACCATCTTCTTTCGTACAGTCCTCCCTGCCAGGGGCTCTGGAGAAATAAATTTCCAGACACACCCCCCCGGGTCAACAAAACGTACATCATCACTCTTATTTAATTTTCATCAAATTTGAGCACCCGCTAAAAAATTGGGGGCATTACTAGATCAAAATCTTGGGCGATCGTCACTGCAAATTCCGGAACAGCGTAAAAACTTTTCGCAACAAGCCCCTGGCCACTTCTAGATGAACACCCAGACTTACAAGTAAATAGACATACAACACCTTAAAAGGGGACACCATCTGAAGTACCTGAAAAATGATTGCCCCTAAGCCCCACCCGGGTCACATCAAAGGGTTTTACCAACTGAAACCTTTTCCTTGGGGCAAGGGTGGAGGACCGGGGTACATTGGGTTTCTGGCATCCACCCGGCACATTTACACACACTTGAAAACCCCCTTTTACACTTTGCGTTTTTTGGGGAAAATTCCAAAAGGGTTTTCCCAAATACAGTTTAATGACCCTGACCCCACCGTGCATCACGTTATTATGGGCTTAAAGACAATAAAGGTTGTCAGGTGATGATTTTGGGTAGCAAGATGGGGTGCTTAGAATTCCCCCCAATTTCAGCATTTTGTAACCTGCCTCTGCACCTAATTACATCATCCCTAAAACAGCCCCAGCTTTCTTTTATGACCCTTTCAAAAATTTTCCCCTCCATCAAAATTTAATCTCATCCCTGTGGGTTTTTCTTTTTGTACCCTCTGTACCATATTTCGGGGATGGGAAAATTATTGAGATATTCATCTAATTATAAATTTAAAACTAACCGGTCCACAATCACTTAGGTGGGAAAAAACCCTTTTTTCATATCAATGGCTAAGGAGGGACTACTGCCCGGGAGCGTCTCACCGAATTTCGACGGGAGCAATAGTCCCTTTTTTGCACCGGGCCAGTTAATTTTGTCCACCACCAACTTGGCCCTTTAAACCACGAAAACACTCACAAATTTTCCATAAGTAAAGCCTCGAGACAAGAATCAGCGGGGTTTTCTCGCCCCGGGAATGTGTTTAAAGGTTAACATTTTTTGACCCAAACGTTATGTTTCTCCTATTTGAGGGTTTTCCAGCGACTCTGTTTTTACATACACAATCTTACTTTTACCATTACGAATCCATTGAAGGGAAACCCTCTTAAAACAGCCCAAAATTTTACGGTTCGCTGATATTTACTCTCGCAATTTTTTTTCTTTATAATTGGCTAATTTGACACCTACATAAAGGCCTTTAAATTTCCCAACTGGGGTAATGCTGTTTTTGTTTGGGAGCCACCTTAGCCTTAGACAAACAAGAAAAATAGCACTATACATTGAAGGAAAGCGACTGCCCATAGGCTAATTCAAACATCGAAAAAAATTGGATACATTCTCTCCCTCTGACTGCCAATTAGGGGGGAACTTCAACTTTTGGTAATTTTACATATTCCCCCATTTTCTTCCCACCTTTCAACAAATTCCTCGGGTGGGGGTTTTCATCCCAAGCACACTTAAGCTTCCATGTTTCTGTCCAAAAATTTTTCCTCTTATGGAAAGGGGGGGACCAAACCTAGGGGATCGAAGCATTTTGAAACTTCTGCAACAAGACTCTTTTGGTTAATTTTTTGGGCATGTTTAGTCATTAAACTTTAACGAAACAAGTCCCCCTCTGTGTCCCCAAGTCATCCCACACATTACTATATTTGGACCTTCAACTCCAGGGTTTCTTTTTTTAATTTGAACTTTTAAACGGGAAACAATTTACTGTTCCTTCCCTCAGGGCTATTTGCACCTTGCATTTTTTTCTTTACCCCTGCTTATCTCATTAGTTCCTTTTCAGTAAGCACCCCCGGGAAAATTTGTCCCAAAAAAATTGTTTCCCCATTACCCACTCAGTACCACCCACGTTTAAAGGGGGTGCATTTATCGTTCCTGGAGTGGGAACGGACTGGGGGTACACCAACAATACACTCCGAACGAAAAATCTTTAGGGACAAGTGGGTCACTAGGTTCTTTCCCCGGGCCCAAAAAACCTAGTCAGTCCCGGGCAGCTTTCCCAGACCCACTTCCCGGAAAGCTTTTTTTATGTCTGCCCTAAAGGGAAAAATTTTAACCCTGAATTAAAAAGTATGTCTCCCCCGTTTTTCCGTAACGACGGCCTGCATCAAACAGTCTTCAAAATAGGTACACTTTTATTTCTCCTGGCACTACAATTAAACACAATCCTCAGAGGGGTGGTCTTAAAACTTTTTCACTCCGTGGTGTGGCAAATAGTGACCAAAATCTGGGGTTTTCTCGGGAGGTACCTCCTTAGAATTTTTTAATTTTTTCTGCTCATTAATTTTTATCATCGTAAGCAGTCAACATTTTTGGTGTCTTGCTCAAATTTGTGGAGCAGCCTTTAATTGTCCATACGCCATCCGGTAATTAGTTGGGGAGGTCTGGATGGTTCACTTCCCCCGGAAACTCACCCAGTATGTCCGTTTAAATTTTAAAAATCCTTTTGTATTGTTCTTTAGTAAAGGAATCATCGGACTTTCTTCATTTACATTGACCCATCTGCCAATTCCCCTAATTTATAACAGGGTTTAACCCTTTATCCCTATTGAAGTTATTTAACTGGGGGGAACTCATAGTAAGAAAACACCGTAACTGTATTTATGGGTTCCCCCACATTCTTTTTCGACGAGGAACCTGCCATACATCACGTCCTCCGGCGGCCTTAGAAGGGGACTCCGCATTTCTTTGCATACCCTTTACAAAGGGGGCAAATGGGCACTACCATCAAAATATCTATTGGCCCCACCGAATTTATTTATACCGGGGGGGGCCAAAATCTACCTTCTCGAAAGCCTTTTAGTACGTTACCAAGCCCATTGTAATTTTTCTCGGGGGGCCTAAACCACAATTACGGCATTAAACGTTTTTTTCTCATTTCCCAGCCACAGTTACATAAACATGTCGTATACTGGGGGCCCCTACGAGAGAAACCAGAAAGTTGATTAGCAGGATCTCCCATTTGTACCTTCATCCCCCTTAAGGCAGTTACGTTTTATGAAACGTTGTGATCCCTGATCCAGCAATGCTGTTACAGTTTTGGGTTTTCCCGTTATCCTTAACACCACATCCAACACAGGCAAAGCTACCTCAGCTAGGCCTCTTTCCGACGTTAGCTGCAATCTTTACGTGGGCTATGTTGTGTCGGGTTTTTATCACTATCAGACTATTGTTTTCCATCATTACGATTGACTGCCCTTACACATAGCTTTTGGGGGTCTTTCCCCTTTTACCGATAACAAAAGTGCAAGTTAGCATGGCAATTTCTTCATTATATTTCCTAACACCTGATACATTACAAGCTCTTCCAATCTTTCCACTTTAACACCATGAATTTAGGCATTACAGTTCTTAGAGAAATGGTGCCGTTGCAAAGATAAAAAATCTCTCCTTTCCTTGCCGACCCTTATCAACTGGGCTACCCTTTTTTGTGGGACTTTTTCCTCTTACTTTGGGGGTGAGAACCCCAAACTGGCACCTGTCACTTGATACGGCCTACGTAACCCCTGTAGTAGGTGGGGTTAGGATTATTTAATTTGGATAAGGTTTCCCTTTGTGGAACTTGGGAGGTCCCCTGGTCTGAGACTGGGATTCCTAAGGTAAAGGGTGGCTGGTCGCAGTTTTGGGCAAATTAGCTCTTGTAGTCCCACTCCTTTTTTTCTTCCAAACCCGAAGTAACCCTTGTGAATCTGTTAGATAACCCTCTATGGTCTTGTGGTTTTAAATTTTTTCTGAAACAAGCCTCACAACCACCTGCCCCTCCAATCATATTTATTCTCAAGGTCTTAAGAGGGTTTCTAGTTTTATCCAAATTGCTGTAAACTGCTCGGGGGGTCTAGTCTTCAAATTAGCCAAATTTTTTACTAGGTCCACCACTTTGCTCCAAGTTACCGTAAGTGACCCCAACAAGTCCACTGCCTCACATAGGGGTCTCTACATTTGGGAATGTTTTTTGAAACATGCGCATCCCCCTTTTCTTGTCCCTTTAAATAGCAAATTTGGGGAACACTTGCAAGATCATCCTATCATGTAAAACTGCTTTAAAGATAACCAAAACCCCCCAGTGTTTTCCCATTAAACACAGGCTACATAATTTTGGGAGTTTTGGTAGTGCCTCTGACTTTCCTTTCTAGGTTGCCAACAACATTTTTTACACCCTTTACCTTCTCCAAAGCCCAGTTTCAGGACACAATGTTTTTCCCCCACTTCAAATGTTGACCAGCAGTCGTCCCCTTTTACTCATCTGCACAATTCAGCAGCTCTTTTTCATTCTTTAAACCACAATCTATATGACCATGTCATTTTCCCAAGGCACTAGGGGTACTTTAAAATTTATCAGGGTTTACCCTTTCTTGTTTCAGTAAAATCCATACACCTCTTTTATGATTTTTGTAACAGACCCTTTTCCCAGCTTGTATGCGCTTTCTTTGCTTTGGGATCCATGGGCTTGCCAGTCGCACTAACTTCCCAGACCCACCATGGTTTGGGAATTAATAAACCCCCATTATCACTTTTAAATAGACGCCTTTTAAAAAAATTCTTTCACTTTACCTTGTATAAATCCAGCTAACCCATGTGCTACAAATTTTTTGGGCTAATTTCATCCACACACGATCGATTAAACTGTGAAACCCCACACCGACTTCCTTTAATCATCACTAAATTAAGTAATTAATTCATTTAATTTTTTCACTGATTGCACCGGTTCACGAAGACCACGCAAGATATGGAAAATTTCCTAGGTGCTTGACTATAGTTTACCGTAGTCACCCCGGAGACATGTAGAAAACTTAACCCCCCTGGGCGGGCAGGGGGTCCCCCGACCCCACTATCTTTTCCTATATATCCGAACCAGTATAGTTTTTAAGCCCCCCAAACGGTCTACCAATATTTGGACTGTATAGATTATATTAGTTTTGCTGAAAAGGGGGGGGTAGGATACACATGGGTACATCCCTCAAGGAAAAAAAGTTTTTTTTAATAATCCCACTACTTCCAAAATTTTCTGGGGGTCACTGATGTAGCGGGGTCAGTCGTAACCTTCTAATTAAACAACCCCTACGGCCAGTCAAGGTTGCTATAACTAGAAGGGGTTTCTTTAAAGTGGGTGATTGATATTTCTCATTTTTTGATTCCCATTCCCCTTTTTTGATGTCCTGCAAAACCACAGATTCCATTCCAGAGGGCGAGGGATCCGCGGTTTGTCCCCTTTTTGACGCTGATCAAAGGGGTTTCCCTTTCCTCGCTCGTTAACAACGAGGTCTAGCGTGTTCCATCGGGGCAAACGACTTATTTCCCCCTTCACAATTCCTTAACAGCGTTTTTATCATTAAATTTCATTCAATTCACAAACGATTAACGTCTCATAACATTAACAAACTAAGGCCACTCCATTAAGAGAGACCGATGGTGATGATTTAAACCCAAGGGGAATTTTTCCCCAGACACAGTCCTTGCGACGCGTCAGTCCCCCCCGGGCCTCTCCACACACTTTTTTCCCTCTATTACTGTGGCCCGTAAATTTCCCGTTTCCCCCCCTCCCACCAGGAACGTTACGACCTTTCTTATTATGAAATGAGGCCATATTAATCCTAGGCCACCGTGAACGTCAATTTTCGTGGGTTTCCCTGTTTTCCCACTTTTCCCCCCCCCCCATTCAAAAAAAACCCCCCTGCCTCCCCCCCACATCCGCGCATGCGCCAAGGGGAAATCTTGGTTCTAATCATTTTTTTAATACATTTTTACTCATATCGGCAAAAAAAAAACACCTATTAGGGGCATAGTTTTTGGGAAAATTAAAAAAATTTTTCCCCAATTTTTTATTACTATTATTACTATACAATAAAATTTAAAGTTTTTGTTTATTCGGTGGGGAAGGGGAAAATTTGAGTTATGTGGAGGGCTGGGGAACCCGGCATGACGATCATCACCTGTGTAAGCCTACCTGTCGCTTCACCTCCCCGGGGGGCTCTTCCCTCGCCGACGGCTACTGCAACGCTCGCATCCTCCGCTTCGCTGCTGACGGAACTCTGAAGGATCAGTTCGGACACCAGGGTAAGTCTCTGCCACGGGTCCTCCAAATAACACGTTCATTTTTCGAATCATTACTACACACAATGCGTCAATTTCTGTATGATCTAAGTCACTCATCTAGATACCCATCAGTTACACAACCCAGGGCAACATGGGTTTAAATTATTATTATTATAATCAAGGGGAAGCGCTAAACCCGGAGGATTATACAGAGCCTGGGGGGGGGATGTGGAAGGCATTCAGGCTTAATTCGGGGAACTGGAGCACAGATCCAATTCCCTAAATCAAGAGCCCCTCACCAACATCAAGGAACCTTCCTTGAGGGGAACATGGGTTTAAAGCAGGTCGTTCCTGCCTGTCCCAACTACTGGACCACTATGGCAAGGTCCTGGATACATAGAAGAAAAACAAAATCAGATGTAGTATACACAGACTTTGCCAAAAACCTTTGACACTGTGACCATGGTATAATAGCGCACAGAATGCGTGATAAAGAAATAACAGAAAAAGTTGGTAGATAGATCTATAATTTCCTAACAAATAGAACACAAAGAGTAGTAGTAAACAGTAAAGTCTGAGGCGGCTATTGTGAAAAGCTCTGCTCCACAAGGCACAGTACTCGCTCCCATCCTGTTCCTCATCCTCATATAGACAGGGATGTAAGCAAGAGCACCGTGTCTTCCTTTGCAGATGACACCCAAATTTGCATGACAGTGTCCTCCCTTGAAGACACTGCAAGACTCCAGGCAGACATCAACCAAATCTTTAAATGGGCCGCAGAAAACTATATGAAGTTCAATGAGAAATTTCAATTACTCCGATATTGAAAACGTGAGGAAATTAAACCTCTATCAGAGTATGAAACAAATTCCAACCACACAATAGAGCGAAAAAACTAATGTAAAAGACCTGGCAGTGATAATGTCAGAGGATCTCACTTTCAAAGACCACAACAATGTATCAAACGCATCTGCTAGAAAAATGACAGGATGAGAACCTTCAAAACTAGGGATGCCAAGCCCATGATGACACTATTCAGGTCGCTTGTTCTATCTAGGCTGGAATATTGCTGCACACTAACAGCACCTTTCAAGGCAGGTGAAACTGCTAACTTAGAAAATGTACAAAGAACCTTTACGGCGATAAAAACACCTCAATTACTGGGAACGCTTTAAGTTCCTCAACCTGTACACCTTAGAATGTAGGCTGAAGAGAAACATGATTATATACACTTGGAAAATCCTAGAGTGATTAGTACCAAACTTACACACGAAAATCACTCCTTATGAAAGCAAAAGACTCGGCAGACGATGCAGCATCCCCCCAAATGAAAAGCAGAAGGGCCACTAGCACGATAAGACACAACACAACAAGTGTCAGTGGCCCAAGACTGTTCAACTGCCTCCCAGCATACATAAGGGGCATTACCAATAGACCCCTGGCTGTCTTCAAGAAGGCACTTGACAAGCACCTAAAGTCAGTACCTGACCAGCTGGGCTGTGGTTCGTACGTCGGGTTGCGTGCGGCCAACAGTAACAGCCTGGTTGATCAGGCCCTGATCCACCCCCGGGCCGCGGGGGCGTTGACCCCCGAAACCCTCTCCAGGTATATATACTCCAGGTAGGGACCAACATATTAAATAAGTTATTGTAAATTAATATATTTTACCTTAACTTTAATTAAGTTACATTTACACACAGCTGACTGCCAGTAACTGATTTACATAAAGAAGCGAGTAACGTCTGCCAGAAGATAAGAACATCTTCATTAACGGTTTTTTAAATCATAAATGACAGTTTTACAAGCCCTCCACTCTGACGGGTATCTATTGTTACTATTTAACAGCCCGAGCGATTTTATTGTTATATGTTGCTCCTATTTGGCCCAAAAATACTCTCACATCAGCTGGTTTTGAAATTTTCCCTTTTTTATTCGTTCACTGGTGAGTGGATGAATTAATGAATTACTGATTCTGTGTCGGAGCTTCACGTGCTATCAGTGTTGATTTCTAGATCTGAGAGTTTGGGTTTGTTAGGTTTAAACCTTACTAAGACTGTAATTCACCTGTACCCACCAGTCAGGAATACTTTAATCAAAAAAAATTATCGGACTTTCAAAATTTATTTCCCGAAATTTCATTTTACCCTTGATTTGATCTTTGTTGTTAGTCCCTCAATGTTTATTTTCATCATTTCTTATGTAAACTATTTATAACATTTTACTTTCTTCTTAATGGTTTACTTTATGTTTTGTCACTATTTTTGATTTTCGTATTTGTAAGTCACATAAAGCAGAATGATTAATTTCTTCAGTCTCCAAGTCTCACCACACGTTCTGCATTTACTTATTTTACTATTAGGGTTTTCGTTATTTTTTGCTTACAACTGCACCGTTTGGGAATGTGTTTGTGTGTGTGTGTGGGGTGTGTGTGTGTGTGTGTGTGTGTGTGTGTGTGTGTGTGTGTGTACTCACCTATTTGTGATTGCAGGGGTCGATTCATAGCTCCTGACTCCGCCTCTTCACTGTTCGTACTGTGTGTGTGTGTGTGCGTGTGTGTGTACTCACCTAGTTGTACTACCTAGTTTTACTCACCCAGTTGAGGTTGCAGGGGGCGATTCCAAAAATCCTGGCCCCCCCTCTTCACTGGTTGCTACTAGGTCACTCTCCCTGAACCGTGTGCTTTATCATACCCCTGTTAAAGCTATGTATGGATCCTGCCTCCACTACATCGCTTCCCAAACTATTCCACATTCCTGGGCTACTCTGTGGTGAAGAAATACTTCCTAAATCCTTGTGATTCATCTGTGTCTTCAACTTCCAACTGTGTCCCCCCTTGTTACTGTGTCCAATCTCTGGAACATCCTGTCTTTTTCCACCTTGTCAATTCCTCTCAGTATTTTGTATGTCGTTATCATATCCCCCTATCTCTCTGTCCTCCAGTGTCGTCAGGTTGTTTCCCTTAACCTCTCCTCGTAGGACATACTGTCATGTTTGGGGTTTTTGATAACGTGGATGGGTTTAAAATTTCTCACGTAGGCTGGTAGTACATATAATATATAACGGGGAAATATGGGAAGCGCCAACAACCGACCGCCTCTCTGCTCCCTATCTTCGACTGACCCACAAGTGTCTACGGGTGAGGGTGTTTGAAATCCTGCTATGGTCAGCAGCAGTAAAGAATAACAGTGATTCACACAGACGGTTGGTAGTGAGTCATCTACTGGTACACTGGTTACTAGGAACTGGTAATACTACTGAGAATACCTCTTAGATCTGGGACTAGTCTTGTTGCAAACCTTTGCACTGTGTGGTGTGTGTGTGGGGTTTGTGTGGGGTTTCACTCACCTAATTGTACCCCTAATTGGGTTGCGGGGGTTTCGAGACTCAGCTCCTGGCCCTCCTCTTCATGTTTCGCTACTAGGCCCTCTCCTCTCTGCTTCCTGAGCTTTGTCATACCTCTTCTTAAAACTATGTATGGTTCCTGCCTCCACACTTCACTTGCTAGTGATTGCTAGTGCTAGTGTTGTAGTAGAAAACTAACCAGTATCATAATGGTACTTAGTGGAGTGGAGTGACTTTCATTAGTTTCTTTTTTCTTGAAATACCAGACGTTACTGTGAATTTCATATAACTGTATTTTACAGCGGTCGCAATATACACAACGAGAAGCAATTATTACTACAGAAAAAAGCGTCCTTCCCCCAAAAATTTCCACCAGTCAACTATAGTGATAATATAGCATTTATTGTGGTGGACGGAAAAAAAAATGGGAAAAACTAGATACAGCAATTTGATAAAAAAGGGTTGAGGTCGACCGTTCGTCATTGTAGGAGTTGCAGCAGTCACGGTTTCTTCAACACGCAAGTTATACTTTTGTATCAATAAATCACATATTACTGGGGTAGATAATTTCCAGTAGATCCTTCATGTGTTAGCTCAAATCACCGACCAGTATTTTTTAAAAAAGTGACCCACGATCAGATCAGATCGACTGGTCGGAACCTTGACTGGTCCGAACCCCTTTCTGGTTTTCCAAACGGTTTCGTTGGACAATAAAGCAGACTGTAAACGGATGGGGTTGTAGGCGCCCTTTAAACACAAACATTAATATAAATCAGGAACATACACGGTAAGCTGTCCAATATACAAAAACAGTTAGAAACAGAAATACAAATAGCTAGAGCTTCATTTAGGAGGTTATTAATAGAATATTCAAGAGGTTGCTAGTAGAATTGCAGTAAATCAACCATTCAAATCATTATGAAACTGTGTGTAGTCTGTGGTCAGTCAAACAAACGGGCTTCCACATGGGTAAATTGTCATTTTTGTGGAAATTGGGTAAAGCCCCTTGTGAAGATATCCAAGAATAGCTACAAGCAGTGTAAAAACAGGGAAGTGTTTTTTTTGGGTATGCCCAAATGAGATAAATCTGTGGACTAAAATCACAAGGGTATTAAAAGAGGACAACATCAAAGCTGCTTTCATAGAAAACCTGGAAGCTTTCTACAACAGATGGGAACATTTAAAAAATCTGGGCTGAATGGTACTGCCCTTGATACTGGCCATGTAGTCAGAAACTGTAACGCTGGAGGGATGTCCTGGTAGTCAGTAAATTGGGGCTGATTTGTGCAGTCCTGGAGACAGTAATGGTGAAGCTGGAGGTGCTGTCCTGGGACAGTAATGGTGAAGCTGGAGGTGCTGTCCTGGGAGACAGTAATGGTGAAGCTGAGATGCTGTCCTGGGAGACAGTAATGGGGAAGCTGGAGATTTTGTCCCGGTAGTCGGGAATTATACGCAGGAAGGAATACATATAAAAAGACCTCATAGGGGACAGGGCCATAGTAGGGAAACAAGTGTAGTCAAAGATAAGATAAACCAATATTGCAAACTAGAAATACCGCAGGAAATAGCAAACAAGAGGACTCCACTAGCAATAGTGAGGGTATATTACCAAAACAACTGGTGGGAGCTCCATTGTTGGTGCTAGGGTGGATAGAAGTAAGACAGGGAAACATGCACCAACAGGGAATACAGTCACAGAAACCCAAGGCAAACGGAAACCAAGCCTGTGCACATACTATGCACTTGGTATCTGCTGGCATGGGAAATCTGGAAAACAGATGGGACATGCAACTATGACCACCCTAGAAAATGCCATGCCCATATGACAACAGGAAAATGCAAACTCCCTTCCTGTAAGCTTTTTCACCCTGAACTGTGTACCTCTTCAGTACAGGAAAGACTGTGCTATAACTTAAATTGCCAGGCATACCATCTAAAGGGGACAAAAAGATACAAAACATCCAGGCCATGGGAAAACCTGGGTAGCCACAGCCACTCAAGAGGGAGAGGTTTTTTAGTGTCAGGAAGGAAAAAAAAACTGGCAGGAAATGGCAGAAATCGTACACCAAATCCAGTCATTCCTGGAGTGGAACCACCGTCGATGGCCTCCACTCCAAACCAACAGATACAGATACTAATGCCGGAAAAAAAATCCCCCCCAGTACCAACAATACCACCAGTCCGATAACATTCTTCTTTGCAAATATACAGGGTCTAAAGCCAGCAACAAACAACAAAATACCTTTCATCTGTGGACTGCTTGCAGAGGCAAAGGCAATGTTCGCGGCTTTCACTGAGACCCACATAAAGGATCACTTGGACAACGAAATATGGATCCCAGGTTACAACCTATACAGATGTGACAGAGTGAACAGGCAAAAAGGATGTGGGGGGGGGGGTTGGCCTGTACATTGCAGAGTCACTTGTTTGCACAGAACTGCTTAATGCCTCAAATGATGTAGTGGAAGTTTTAGCAGTAAAGGTCGAGAACCAAAACCTAGTCATTGTGGTAGTCTACAAGCCTCCGGATGCAACATCCCAGCAATTCCAGGAACAGCTGTTAAAAATTGACCACTGTCTGGAAAATCTTCCAGCTCCTGCACCCAACATCTTGCTCCTGGGGGATTTCAACTTAAGGCACCTAAAATGGAGGAATATAGCAAATAATATTGTTGCAGTAATAACACCAGGAGGCAACTCTGATGAAAACTCACACTCACACGAGCTTTTAAATCTCTGCACAAAATTCAATTTAAACCAGCAAATAATAGAGCCTACTAGACTGGAGAATACACTAGACCTCATCTTCACTAACAATGATGATCTGATAAGAAATGTCACCATATCAAAAACAATATACTCAGATCACAACATAATTGAGGTTCAGACATGTATGCGTGGAGCCCCAGACCGACATAATGAGACTAGTCACGAGGGAGCATTCACCAAATTCAACTTCAATAACAAAAACATAAAGTGGGACCAAGTAAACCAGGTCCTAACCGATATAAGCTGGGAAGATATACTAAGCAACACAGACCCCAACTTATGTCTAGAACAGATTAACTCGGTGGCACTCGATGTATGCACAAGGCTTATTCCTCTAAGAAAAAGGAGGAGTAGATGTAAAATAGAAAGAGACAGGCGCTCCCTTTACAGGCGACGGAAAAGAATAACAGAGCGGCTAAAAGAGGTCAATATATCTGTAATGCGTAGGGAGACACTGGTCAGAGAAATAGCAAGCATCGAACTTAAGCTAAAAGAATCCTTTAGGAGTCAGGAATCGCGGGAAGAACTAAAAGCCATAAATGAAATCGAAAGAAACCCAAAGTATTTCTTCTCCTATGCCAAATCAAAATCGAGAACAACGTCCAGTATTGGGCCCCTACTTAAACAAGATGGGTCCTACACAGATGACAGCAAGGAAATGAGTGACCTGCTCAAGTCCCAATATGACTCAGTTTTTAGCAAGCCGCTAACCAGACTGAGAGTCGAAGATCAAAATGATTTTTTTATGAGAGAGCCACAAAATTTGATTAACACAAGCCTATCCGATATTATCCTGACGCCAAATGACTTCGAACAGGCGATAAATGACATGCCCATGCACTCTGCCCCAGGGCCAGACTCATGGAACTCTGTGTTCATCAAGAACTGCAAGAAGCCCCTATCACTAGCCTTTTCCATCCTATGGAGAGGGAGCATGGACACGGGGGTCGTCCCACAGTTACTAAAAACAACAGACATAGCCCCACTCCACAAAGGGGGCAGTAAAGCAACAGCAAAGAACTACAGACCAATAGCACTAACATCCCATATCATAAAAATCTTTGAAAGGGTCCTAAGAAGCAAGATCACCACCCATCTAGAAACCATCAGTTACACAACCCAGGGCAACATGGGTTTAGAACAGGTCGCTCCTGTCTGTCTCAACTATTGGATCACTACGACAAGGTCCTAAATGCACTAGAAGACAAGAAGAATGCAGATGTAATATATACAGACTTTGCAAAAGCCTTCGACAAGTGTGACCATGGCGTAATAGCGCACAAAATGCGTGCTAAAGGAATAACAGGAAAAGTCGGTCGATGGATCTATAATTTCCTCACTAACAGAACACAGAGAGCAGTCGTCAACAGGGTAAAGTCCGAGGCAGCTACGGTGAAAAGCTCTGTTCCACAAGGCACAGTACTCGCTCCCATCTTGTTCCTCATCCTCATATCTGACATAGACAAGGATGTCAGCCACAGCACCGTGTCTTCCTTTGCAGATGACACACGAATCTGCATGACAGTGTCTTCCATTGCAGACACTGCAAGGCTCCAGGCGGACATCAACCAAATCTTTCAGTGGGCTGCAGAAAACAATATGAAGTTCAACAATGAGAAATTTCAATTACTCAGATATGGTAAACATGAGGAAATTAAATCTTCATCAGAGTACAAAACAAATTCTGGCCACAAAATAGAGCGAAACACCAACGTCAAAGACCTGGGAGTGATTATGTCGGAGGATCTCACCTTCAAGGACCATAACATTGTATCAATCGCATCTGCTAGAAAAATGACAGGATGGATAATGAGAACCTTCAAAACTAGGGAGGCCAAGCCCATGATGACACTCTTCAGGTCACTTGTTCTATCTAGGCTGGAATATTGCTGCACACTAACTGCACCTTTCAAGGCAGGTGAAATTGCCGACCTAGAAAATGTACAGAGAACTTTCACGGCGCGCATAACGGAGATAAAACATCTCAATTACTGGGAGCGCTTGAGGTTCCCAAACCTGTATTCCCTGGAACGCAGGAGGGAGAGATACATGATTATATACACCTGGAAAATCGTAGAGGGACTAGTACCGAACTTGCACACGAAAATCACTCACTACGAAAGCAAAAGACTTGGCAGACGATGCACCATCCCCCAATGAAAAGCAGGGGTGTCACTAGCACGTTAAGAGACCATACAATAAGTGTCAGGGGCCCGAGACTGTTCAACTGCCTCCCAGCACACATAAGGGGGATTACCAACAGACCCCTGGCAGTCTTCAAGCTGGCACTGGACAAGCACCTAAAGTCAGTTCCTGATCAGCCGGGCTGTGGCTCGTACGTTGGTTTGCGTGCAGCCAGCAGCAACAGCCTGGTTGATCAGGCTCTGATCTACCAGGAGGCCTGGTCACAGACCGGGCCGCGGGGGCGTTGACCCCCGGAACTCTCTCCAGGTAAACTCCAGGTAATTCCACTTCCTGACAACTCTATGACTGAAGAAATACTTCCTAACGTCCCTGTGACTCGTCTGAGTCTTCAGCTTCCAGTTGTGACCCCTTGTTTCTGTGTCCCCTCTCTGGAACATCCTGTCTCTGTCCACCTTGTCTATTCCCCACAGTATCTTGTATGTCGTTATCATGTCTCCCCTGACCCTTCTGTCCTCCAGTGTCATCAGCCCGATTTCCCTCAACCTTTCCTCGTACGACATTCCCCTGAGCTCTGGGACTAACCTTGTTGCAAACCTTTGTACTTTCTCTAACTTCTTGACGTGCTTGACAAGGTGTGGGTTCCAGACTGGTGCTGCATACTCCAGTATGGGCCTAACATACACAGTGTACAGTGTCTTGAACGATTCCTTATTAAGGTATCAGAACGCTATTCTCAGGTTTGCCAGGCGCCGTATGCTGCAGCAGTTATTTAGTTGATGTGTGCCTCCGGTGACGTGCTCGGTGTTATGGTCACCCCAAGGTCTTTCTCCTTGAGTGAGGTCTGTAGTCTTTGTCTGCGGTCTTCTTTGCCGTGTGTGTGTGGTGTGTGTGTGTGTGTGTGTGTGTGTGTGTGGATGACTTATTTTGTTATCCTAATTCACAATTGTTGTCTTCCCATTTTTATCTGTCTGGTTCCCACTCATGTTTGTTTGTGTTCTTTTACATCCATTTATTTGCACCATTTTTTCTTTGTAAATGATTTATTTCAGAACAAATATAATGCATTATATGATAATTTATCAGTTCTTTAGAATCTGCACTTTTATTAGTATTACGCTTATAGGGGAGCACTAAACCCATAGGGTCAATGAGAAGAAATCAGGTTCGATCCGAGGAAAGTTAAGTTCCTTGGATCAGGAACCCCTCACTGACCTGGCACCTTCTTTTAGCATTTTACTTATGAAAAATTGTGACTAATAAAATTTTCATTTTTAATGTGTGTATTTGTTGTATACAGGGAGCGAGGGTAGCGCTGGAGCACTGTATGTTCCCCACGGGTTAGCACTTGATGAGACTCGTGACGCCCTGTGTGTGGCTGACCGGGAGAACCATAGAGTGGTATGTCTCAAGGCAGGACTCCAGCACCAACAACAGTTTGGCCAACCCGTCATGACTCTTCAGGACCCTAACCGCAGCAGGGTGTTTGACGTTGCTTTTCTCAGTGAGTGGTATATATAGTTCTCTGCTTAAGTTAGAAGCAAGCTGATAATGGTTGAGGTTGCAAGAAAGTAATTTGGCGGTCAGTTCAAGCAATCGAATTTGCTCTCCTTGATTTTACTTTTCCTCTCAGAGCAAACTAACTGTAATTAACTTGTAGCAGGATTCAAGAGTTTTCAGCTTTTTTGCTTCCAGTCTATAGGCCTACATTGCCAGTATAACCTAAATGACTAGGCGCCTCGTGAAGAACCTTGACTAGTTCCCTCATGAAGACTTATAATTTCATTCCAATAATATTTCTTATGTCTACTGGGAGAAGAAGAATCATGGGACTATGGTGTTAATATAGTGTATTGTAGATGATATGCGCCTCTTTGAATCGCTTAGGTTAAGCTAGGTGGTGTGGTGTTGTGGAGGATACGTGCCTCTCTGAATCAGCAAGGTTAACTTAAGCTGGGTGGTGGTGGGGTGTTGTAGATGATATGTGCCTTGTTGAATCAGCAAGGCTAAGCTGCCTTTCTTGAAAAGGACTGTGAGCTCAAGTGCCTTGAAGAGTACTGTTACTGGCCTGCCAGTTTGTTTTGATGGTGTTCATTATGTATTTGATGACCTACCTCACCGAGGCTACTGTTGATTTATTCTGCTCTCGAAATGTTAGGTTGAACATAAATAAATAAACATGAATAATTAAATATTCACTATTAAATAAACATAATGTTATATATATATATATAATATAATATATATATATATATATATATATATATATATATATATATATATATATATATATTAACACCCCTCCTTCAGAGTGCAGGCACTGTACTTCCCATCTCCAGGACTCAAGTCCGGCCTGCCGGTTTCCCTGAATCCCTTCATAAATGTTACTTTGCTCACACTCCAACAGCACGTCAAGTATTAAAAACCATTCGTCTCCATTCACTCCTATCAAACACGCTCACGTACGCCTGCTGGAAGTCCAAGCCCCTCGCACACAAAACCTCCTTTACCCTCTCTCTCCAACCTTTCCTAGGCCGACCCCTACCCCCTTCCTTCCACTACAGACTGATACACTCTTGAAGTCATTCTGTTTCGCTCCATTCTCTCTACATGTCCGAACCACCTCAACAACCCTTCCTCAGCCCTCTGGACAACAGTTTTGGTAATCCCGCACCTCCTCCTAACTTCCAAACTACGAATTCTCTGCATTATATTCACACCACACATTGTCCTCAGACATGACATCTCCACTGCCTCCAGCCTTCTCCTCGCTGCAACATTCATCACCCATGCTTCACACCCATATAAGAGCGTTGGTAAAACTATACTCTCATACATTCCCCTCTTTGCCTCCAAGGACAAAGTTCTTTGTCTCCACAGACTCCTAAGTGCACCACTCACCCTTTTCCCCTCATCAATTCTATGATTCACCTCATCCTTCATAGACCCATCCGCTGACACGTCCACTCCCAAATATCTGAATACATTCACCTCCTCCATACTGTCTCCCTCCAATCTGATATCCAATCTTTCATCACCTCATCTTTTTGTTATCCTCATAACCTTACTCTTCCCTGTATTCACTTTTAATTTTCTTCTTTTGCACACCCTACCAAATTCATCCACCAATCTCTGCAACTTCTCTTCAGAATCTCCCAAGAGCACAGTGTCATCAGCAAAGAGCAACTGTGTTAATGTTGCAGTTTAAAAACTGTAGTGTAAAGCACCCTTCTGGCAAGACAGTGATGGAGTGAATGATGGTGCAAGTTTTTCTTTTTCGGGCCACCCTGCCTTGGTGGGAATCGGCCAGTGTGATAATAAAATAAAAAAAAAAAATATATATATATATATATATATATATATATTATATATATATATATATATATATATATATATATATAATATATATATATATATATATATATATATATATATAGATTTCAGAACAACCACTGCGAAAACATAGTGAAATTCCAAGCACTTTCGTGATTTCTCACATTATCAAAAAGCTATAAAAATAAAAGGTTAACAGGAAGGCATATAAGGACGAGACTACACCTCATTGCCACCCCACAACAACACCTGACTTTTTATGATGGTGTAGTAGGTAGTCTGTGATCCGTGAAACACAGCTTGTATTCTACCCAAAAATTTGTCTAATGTACCTTAAATTCTTCCCAAATTTTAGTAATTATAAATGAATCCAATTTATATAAATCAAAAGAAATATTCATATTATTGTCAAAACTGCTTTTTATGAAACAAGATTCAATTATATTCCTGTCGACCATGGACTTGCTTGATACAACTTTCTCAACTTTTTGAAAATCAATTGGATGGTTAAAATCTCTCACATGAATAAATAGAGCATTGGAATCTTGTCCAATTCTAATGTTATATTTATGTTTTAATCTTAGTTCGAGATTTTTACCAGTTTGACCGTAATAAACTTTATCGCAAAATTTACAAGGAATCTTATACACACATCCGTCAGCATTTTGGGGGGAATTCTTTATCAAAAGTTTAACTGTGTCAAGACTTTTAAATACAACTTTGATATTAAAAGTCTTAAGAAGAGAAGGCATATCAACCAAATTTTCATGGTAAGGGACAATCAACATATTTTTAGTTGTCCCTTTTTGGATTGTAAAAAGTATTTCTAGCAATTTTAAATGATTTACCAATATACGTTTCTTGGGTATTTCAGATCATTAGTTATTTCATAAATTTTGGATATTTCTTCATCTATGAACTCAGGACTACAAATAGCAAAGCTCTCAAAAACATTGATGAGATAACAGACAGTTTAACTCTATCTTGATGTGAAGAATAATAGTGTACGTAGGAACAGTTATTTGTTGGTTTTCTTGAAATTTTAAATTTAAAATCATTGTTATCCTTAATAATTAAAACATCTAGGAAAGGCAATGAGTTATTTTCTTCAAACTCAACAGTAAAATTTATAGAATGAGTTAAGCTCTTTAATTTAACAAGGAAATGTTTTATATCTACATTCTTAGGCATAAGACACAAAATATCATCAACATATCTAAACCACTTAGCTTTATTAGGAAGGATTGTGTTAAGCAGTCTTGTTTAAAAAAAGTTCCATGAATAAATTACTAAGAACAGGTGAATGAGGATTTCCCATTGCCATACTAAACTTCTGAGTGTAAAACTCGTCATTAAATACAAATTTTTGCATCACCAGTGCTAAGTTTAGTAAGTTTAATGATAGTAGGAACTGGCAATATAGCTATTTTTTCACTGTGGTTGTTCTGCATATTGTGATATCACCTGTTTACTATGATCTTATTGTATACATATATATATATATATATATATATATATATATATATAATATATATATTATATATATATATATATATATATATAATATATATATATTATAGGTAGTAGTTGGTAGACAGCAACCGCCCAGGGAGGTACTACCGTCCTGCCAAGTGAGTGTAAAACGAAAGCCTGTAATTGTTTTACATGATAGTAGGATTGCTGGTGTTTTTTGTCTGTCTCATAAATATGCAAGATTACAGGTAAGTCTTGCTACTTCTACTTACACTTAGGTCACACTACACATACATGTACAAGCATATATATACACACCCCTCTGGGTTTTCTTCTATTTTCTTTCTAATTCTTGTTCTTGTTTATTTCCTCTTATCTCCATGGGGAAGTGGAACAGAATTCTTCCTCTGTAAGCCATGCGTGTCGTAAGAGGCGACTTAAATGGCGGGAGCAAGGGGCTAGTAACCCCTTCTCCTGTATATATTACTAAATTTAAAAGGAGAAACTTTAGTTTTTTCTTTTGGGCCACCCCACCTCAGTGGGATACGGCTGGTACGTTGAAAGAAGAATATATATATATATATATATATATATATATATATAATATATAATATATATATATATATATATATATATATATATATATCGTGGTGAATAGGTAAAATGGTCAATTAGCAAGAACTCATTTAAAATTAAGTTCTTTCTAACATTTTCTCTTATATGTATAAAGACATTTTTTTCATTTATGTTAATGTAAAAAATAATTTTGTACCAAAAGAACCTTAGAAAACCTATCTAACCTTATTATAACAAGCATAGTTTAATTTAGCCTAATCCAACTAAATATATTTTAGATAAATTTGCAATAATTTAATAATAAGCAAGCATAATGAAATATATTTTTTCATTAGGTTCAGAACGATTTTTGCGAAATTATTGCATATGCAAATTTTTGCTTGCCTTATTCGGCAAGAAGAGCGTTGCTATTTAAGTGAAAATCGCAAGTTTTACCTATTCGGCACGACATATATATGAATTATTAAACAAGCATGTATAAAATAATGAACATGAGACTGAAACCGAAATATACATACAGAGCAAGAAGAACAGTGGAACCTCAGTTGTCGAACTTAATTCGTTCCAGATGTCAATTCAACAACCAGAATGGGCGACAACCAAAGCAATTGTTCCCATGAAGAATAATGTAAATAAAATTAATCCGTTTCAGAGCCTGAATGATAATATAATAATTTATTAAAAATGTACTAAGTGCTACATTAAACTAAAAATGAATACTAAAAGTAACTTTAACCGAAATACTGTACAGTAAATCAAAATTTAATTGGCTCTTATCTGTCAGAAGAGAGCTAATGGCATACTGGAAGCAGGAGTGGAAGAGAAGAGGGGGATGTTGCTGCTTGGAAGGAGAGTCACCTATTAATATGTCAGGCAACTGTCCTGTTGTTTCTCTTCTTTGTCTCTTTTCATCACTTGTTGTGGCTCACTGATTCTTTGTCTCACTAAAAACCCGTCCAGTGAGGTTTGTTTCAGGTTCTCTTATAACATTTGTCTAAATTGAGACATTACACTGCCATTGTACATGTTAGAGAGACAGATGGCCACTGCTTTGTCTGGATGGTATTTTTCAGCAAACTCCTACACTTCACGCCATTTGGCACACATTTCCTTGGCAAGTGCAGTGGGCACATCATCCCTTCCCTCCTCTTCCTCTGATGACAGCTTCTCCGCTGCAAGATGTTGCTGCTCCTTCTGAGGGTCTTCAAGTTCTTCTGTGGTGAATTTAGTTCTATGCTCTTCCACCAACTCCTCCACATCATCTTCAATTACCTCTTGTTCTTGTCCAGACCAGAGCTTTGGTGAGATGGGTAAGGAAGAAGGATGGGTAAGGATAGAAATTTTGGAAAAGGGTGGGAGGGGGGAGAGAGGTAGGATATAAAAGGTAGGTGGCCCAACCACTTTGGTGTAATTTAAAAAGTGTATGTGAAATGATAAGATATTCTTTAAGTCAGATATGAGGATGAGGAAAAGGATAGGAGCGAGTACTGTACCTTTTGGAACAGAGCTTTTCACTCTAGCCGCCTTTGACCTTAAAACTCTGTTTACTGTTCCTCTCTGTGTTCTACTGGTTAGGAAATTATAGATCCATCTACCCTATTTCCTTGTTATTCCTTTATCACGCATTTTGTATGCTGTTACACCATGATCGCACTTGTCGAAGGCTTTCTCAAAGTCTGTGTGTACTACATCCGCATTTTGTTTGTCCTCCAGTGCATCCAAGACCATGTCATAGTGGTCCAGTAATTGTGAGAGGCAGAAGCGACCTGCTTCCCTGGGTTGTGCACCTGTTGGGTGTCCAGATGGTTGGCGATCCTGCTTCTTAGAAAACTCAAAGATTTTAATAATGTGGGACGTTAGTGCTATCGGTCTGTAATTCTTTGCAATATGGACAGATGATATATCGGACAGATGATATACGGACAGATGAAAGTTTTACAACGGGGCTCTTCAGTTATTATTATAATCATGGGGGAAGCGCTAAACCCGTATTATTATTATTATAATCAAGGGGAAGCGCTAAACCCGGAGGATTATACAGCGCCTAGGGGGGATGTGGAAGGCATTCAGGCTTAATTCGGGGAACTGGAGCACAGATTTAATTCCCTAAATCAAGAGCCCCTCACCAACATCAAGGAACCTTCCTTGAGGGGGCTAAACCCGTAGGATTATAAAGCGCCTGTGGGGGGATGTGAAAGGTATTCATTCTTAATTCAGGAAACTGGAGCACAGATCCAATTCCCTAGATCAAGAACCCCTCACCAGCGTCAAGGAACCTTCCTTGAGGGGCGGGACTCTTCAAGAGACATACCTTGATGCTGGAGAAGACTCTTGATTCTACGGTTTTTAACCTCTTTCTCGTATCATACCTGATTACATCCCATTCCTCAAGAGCCGTAGGACCCTCACGGGTTTCGCGCTTCCCGATTATTATAATCAGTTACCGCAGGATAATTCATTTGGTCAGCCGGGTAATTAATTTTCTTGCCGACAGATGGCATGCTAGTGGGCGTGGGCGGCAGCGAGGACGAGGGCGTGGCAACAGGTTTCACGGCTGATATGGACACTGGCGACCTGCTTGACGCCTGGGCACCTCTCACGGTACGTCACCACCAACATCCTTTCTCATGGTGATGATGTTTCTATATGAACCATCATAATCGGGTGACCTCAGTAGCTGGTGTAAACAACGCGATATGTGGGTTCGAACCCGGGTGTTATATGGGTTTGAACCGGGGGCATTATCTGAGATCGAATCCAGGCGTTATATAGGTTCGAAGCCAGGCGTTATATGGGCTCGAAGCCAGGTTAGCCAGTTGGTAATCTTACACCTATTTTCCTTCTTTTTCAACAGTTGCATTTACTGGCTAACTGTATATTGTGTCTCATTCACATAATTATCGATATATTTTACCATTGATATTCACGTAGGCGAGTAGTTCACCTGGATGTTGACGGATTATTCTCTGTCTACATTCGGGACATTATTGTATATATCATATGTTCCTGCATGCTTTAGTGCGTCACAATGTTAAGTGTGTGTTTCTGGTGTTGGTGCGCAGGGCTTCCACAACCCCCACGCCATCTCTGTAAGTCAAGACGGTGTCGCCATCTACGTGGCTGAGATTGGTCCCAACCGAGTGTGGAAGTTTGTCTTGGACACCCCTGCAACTTTCTGAAGGAACCAGCAGCACTGATGGGGAACGTCAGAGTGCCTGCCACCACCACCACTACCACAACTACCACAACCACTAACAACAACATTATTACAACTACCACTACTGTCATCACAACCGCCATCACCGGTGCCACTACCACCACCACTGTCATCACTACCACCACCACTACCACTCCCACAACCACTACCATCACCACTGTCACAACAATCACTACCACCACTACCGACAACAACACTACTATTACTACAACAAGAACCACCCACAATGACAACACTTTAATTTGTAACAACCACAACCCTCAACAACACTGATAACTTGCATCTTTCTCTTCCCCCTCTTCATGCTGTATAGTCCTTGTGGCTTAGCGCTTCTTTTTGATTATAATAATAATAATTCCCCCTCCTCAACACAATTCATACTGAATCATAACTACAGTATTATGTATAATAGGTGTTAATGTTTAAGAAAGTCGGTCTAATACTGCACTAGTAGCAAGGCCTTAATAATTCTTTTCTTCATATAAACTCACTATATAAACAATGTATCAAGGAGAGACAAATGTTTCCAAGGTAGGAACAAGACTTTGTTGATGCAAATTATACATTTCATCTGTAACATAAAACATTAGATGTGCTGAGTGCGTTACTCAATTTATACAATGTAATGCATTATTTGGAGTGTAATGTGGGTAGATAATGACTGATGCTGCGTGTGTCAGTGTGAAGGATTACGGATATTATATATATATATATATATATATATATATATATATATATATATATATATATATATATATATATATATATATATATATATATATATATATATATATATATATATACAGTCAGGGAGTCTCCTAGCTACGTTCACCGAGGAAAACAATACTACGATAGCAAAAATATATACGAGAATAATTTCTTGGGTTGTCATTCTGCTGGTTATGTACTATAGAGATTCGTGGAACATGGAAACAACAACACTCAATTGAAGTTATTGTTTTCAAGCTCATAGTATAGTAAGTCTTAATTTGTGAAGCTGGAGTCACCTAACACAGCGAGACGAAAGGCAGAGGTGAGGGAAGGGATGAAGATTGTGTCAAGGTGAACCAGCAAGGCTCTGCAGGAGTGAAGAGTTCTTAACATGCAACCGTACTTTGCAGCTATCCTATTGTGTATAAAAACTAAAGTGTGGAAACTCCTGCGGTGTGATGCTGCACTGTTCTGTATGACAATTATGGGAAAACCGGAAGTGTGATGATACTCTATTCTCTTTGACAGATGCATTATGGGAACACCTTAAGTGTGAGACTTCTCTGGTCTATACGATGGTTACATTATGGAAACAACCGCAGTATGTGGCTACTATATTCTTTATTCAGGTTAAATTATGTGGACAAAAGCTAATAACGTTTCCTTGTCATACTCCATCGTACAGGATGGGCCAGAAGCTGTGACACGACCCCTGCAACCACAACTAGATGAGTACATAAGGTAATAAAATCTGTCACCCTAGTTCCAAGACTTAGGATGATGAGGATTACCTCAAACATTAGGTTAGTGGGGAAGACGAGACAACTGGAGGTGCAATAACAGCAGCATATAGTCAAGTGTTGTAGAAGGCTGGACTCCTGCTCAGGAGCACCACACATAACCCACCCAACTAGAGCAGTAAAAATATTGAATTACATCAGCTATAATAGAATAAAATAAATATTTGAATGGGAACTTCATATTATATGTGCTATTCCAGGGTCTTACCATTCTTCACATATACTGCAACTACACGGAAATTAATGAAATATGAATAAATATTTTATCTCAGTCAACGTGAATGATTCGAAGCCACACTACTCACATTCAGCCAGGGCGAGTTGTTAGCAACACGGTGCCTTAGCCCTTACACCACCGATCATCATCGATACACATGGAAACTAACTCCAGAAAAAAAAAACAGATTAGCGAACATTCCTTATGATATATATAGTGGAAAGTAAAGGCATAGATAAATATGGCCAAATTAAAAAAAAGTTTATGCACATATTACAAGCTAAGTTGTTGTTATTCTGGTGCAGTAAGCTATATTGGTCAAATATACTCATTGTACAGTGTGTCGACCACAGTGGGTACGCAAGTGAACACACACATTACTTGAAAGTCTAATGAACAAGAACGTGCTCATTAATCTATATATAGAATACTATTGCACATGTCTTGTTGAAAAATCTTCGTTGTGTTGGACATTTCTATTATCTTGGGTGAGATATATCTGGAGTGACCCACAGCAAAATCGTTTGGTATTAAACTAGTGAACCTGTGCTTGGGGTCGAGTATTTGAACCTGATCCTGGATATTTCTGGTAATGAAGAAGGTTTGCATCTTCTGTCTATAACATTAATTAAAATCATCAACAAGTCTAGTGTTTTATTGTCCTCGTTATTTGTGTCCCGTGGCCTGGTGGCAAAAGCTCTCGCCTTACACAGTGAGGGGTCTGGGTTCGATTCCCGGCGAAAGGGTGGAAACGTCGGACGTGTTTCCTTACACTGGGTACCTGGGTGTTAGTCGACTGGTGTGGGTCGCATCCTGAGACAAAACTGATCTAATTTGCCCGAAATGCTCTGCATAACAAGCGGCTTTCTCTATAGTAGTATGTCATTGATGTCAACTAGGACTGTATACTTTATACATGTATTTGTAGTAAATGAAGATATATTATTATCATAAACGCAGTGAGTTAGCCTTAATCGCCAAGGGATTAATAAAACTTACGAACTTATGAGAGGATAGAGATCACTTTAATGAACATTCTTTAAATTCATGCTACAAAACTCAGATGTGCATTACAATTCTTATATGAGTGACACTAGATGGTACGCTTGGTACAGTTGTTACAACGACACCTCTACCAGACTCAGTAGTGTTTTTGCTCTTAGTATATGCCAACACCAACATATATTTGTTTTATTTATGGGGAAACACTAAAACAGTAGGGAAATAGGCAGTCAGATTCGATGCATGGAAAGGGAAGACAAGTACAATTGCATGGATCATGAGCCCCCTCACCGACATCAAGGTACCTCCCCTGAGGAATGAACAGATCAAAGACACCAACTTTGATGTCCCTGTATTGTATTAATAAAGCCTCTGGGTGGCGAAACGTTTGCAAATAAACATACTCAGATGCTTCACGTATGTCTAATTCATCAGTTATTTAAGTGTTTATCTTACAAATGGATATGAAAGGGCACTAATATTGGAAAAAATAATTAGCTGCAGATCTAGATGTAGAGTCCTGCTGTATGACCCTAGTAGGTTTAGCGCTTCCTTTTGGTTTTAATAATAGATATGGAGTCCACTTTAACAAGTGGAAGAGTTAAGTTATAAAAGACAGCGTCAGTGTTGAGTGTAACAATGTCTCTCTAAATAAATATAACACAAAAAGAATATTAAAAAGTCGAGTGTTTAATATAATAATCGACAAAACTATTATTTCTTTATCCTTCAGAACTGAGCAATTAAAAAGTTTCTGTAGCTGATGTGAATATTTAAATTACATAAAAAAATTGCCAGATCAAAACAAACTGAGATTAACAAACCAAGATTTGGAGGACAAGTTAATTATGGTATTAAGACAATAGTAATATAACAGATGACCTCTGACTCAACTAGACACTATTACAAAATAAATATTTCATGGATATGTAAAGTTCCCAGTAAAAGCGTGGGTTTAGCTCTTAGTTTTGAGTCGAATAATAATCCCAATAAAAACAGTTAGATTTATCAATGAGTTAGAGGATGTCATGACAAATGTGTGGGTTACATCATCAATGATATTTATGATACCTGTCACTGTTTTCACGAGAAAGAGACGTTTTAGTAAACTAAAACTTATAAAAACATATTTAAGGTAATCTGTGAGACAGGAAATATTATATTCTATGGTAATTTTGTTTACAGAAAATAACTTGTGAAAAGAGAGATGGAAAATGACATGAAAACATTGCCGATCTGAAGGCAAGATACAAAGTGTTTTAGTTACAGTGTGAAGGAAAAGTTCCTACAGATATACATTGTTGTTAACAGTACAAGTAGTGATGGTTGAGTCCTTGTACTTCCCAGATCACTTGGTGGTGTAACACCGTCACCTCCACCTTCCTCACCAACCTCTGGAACCTGCTGACGTGGAAATAAATCTTTTCTTGTCTATTCCCCTCAAGAGAGGTTCCTTGACGCTGGTGAGAGGCTCTTGATCTAGGGAAATGGATCTGTGCTCCGGTTCCTTGAATCGAGCTTGAATACTTTCCATCCCCCAACCACATTCCCTGTATAATCCTACGGGTTTAGCGCTCCTCGTGATTATAATTAATTATAATTCTCTTTTATTTAACGTCATGAGTAGACACTGTGTCCCTCCTTGCTTTACCCACCACGTCTCTAATAATAATCTTTATTTCTAAAAGTACATGTACAGTTAGGTCAATTTTGTCCCGGGATGCGATCCACACCAGTCGACCAACACCCAGCTACTTATTTTAGGGAAAGGTGAACATGGACAGTAGGTCTTAAGGAAACACGTCCTAATGTTTCCACCCGTACCAGGGATCGAACCACGAACCTCAATGTGAGCTGAGTACCTGGAGTTTACCTGGAGAGGGTTTCGGGGGTCAATGCCCCCGCGGCCCGGTCTGAGACCAGGCCTCATAGTGGATCAGGGTCTGATCAACCAGGCTGTTACTGCTGGCCGCACGCAAGCTGACGTACGAACCACAGCCCGGTTGGTCAGGTACTGACTTTAGGTGCCTGTCCAGTGCCTTCTTGAAGACAGCCAGGGGTCTATTGGTAATCCCCCTTATGTATGCTGGGAGGCAATTGAACAGTCTTGGGCCTCGGACACTTATTGTGTTGTCTCTCAGTGTACTCGTGGCGCCCCTGCTTTTCATCGGGGAAATGTTGCATCTCCTGCCGAGTCTTTTGCTTTCATATGGAGTAATTTTCGTGTGCAGGTTTGGTACCAATCCCTCCAAGACCATCCAAGTGTATATTATCATGTATCTCTCTCGCCTGCGTTCGAGGGAATACAGATCAAGGACCTTCAACCGTTCCCAGTAGTTTAAGTGCCTCATCGCACTCATGTGTGCCGTGAAAGTTCTTTGTACACTCTCCAGGTCTGCAATGTCGCCAGCCTTGAAGGAGGCTGTTAGTGTACAGCAATATTCCAGCCTAGAGAGCACAAGCGATTTGAAGAGAATCATCATGGGCTTGGCGTCCCTAGTTTTGAAGGTTCTCATTATCCATCCTATCATTTTCCTAGCGGATGAGGTAGATACATTGTTGTGGTCCTTGAAGGCGAGATTCTCTGACATTATCACTCCCAGGTCCTTCACATTACTTTTCCGCTCTATTGTATGGTTAGAATTTGTGGTATGCCCTGACACATTTTTAATTTCTTCAAGTTTTCCATATCTGAGTAGTTGAAATTTTTCCTCGTTGAACTTCATATTGTTTTGAGTGTCCCATTCGAAGATTTGGTTGATGTCCGCTTGGAGTCTCGTAGTGTCTTCGATGGAGGTCACTGCCATGGTGATCCGGGTGTCATTCGCAAAGGAAGACACGGAGTTATGGCTTACATCTCTGTCTATGTCATAAATGAGGATGAGGAATAGAATGGGAGCGAGTACTGTGCCTTGTGGAACAGAGCTTTTTACCACGGCTGCCTGGGACTTTACTCTGTTTGC